TGACCGATGCCAAAGAGGGCGTTTCCCTGTTCGATTACGTATCTGGCACTGCCGTTGCTCCTGCTGCCGATGCTCCTACTCTCGAACGCTCACAGTGGCAGACTCGTGATGCTGCTGCACGCCTCGCTATTAGGAACCACCTGCCGATTACTGAGCGCGCGCATTTCAGCCAGCACAAAACTGCTAAGACACTGTACGACGCTGTAGTTGCACGCTACTCCTCCCCGGCCACTGCAGCCATAGGTCGACTCATGCTACCTTACCTGTTCCCCGACCTTTCCTCGTTCACCACTGCTGAGGACCTCATTTCCCACCTGCGCGCCACTGACACTCGCTTTTGTGCCGCCCTTTCAGCCGAGTTCTGCACCGCAAACCCCCCCCCCCGATGTACTTCACTCTCTATTTCCTCGTCACCTGCCTCCCTGACACTCTTAGCTCAGTCAGGGACCACTTCCTAGCGCTCGACCCCCCCACTCTCACTGTCGACGACTTCGAGAAGCACCTCCTAGCAGCAGAGAAGAACATCCTCGCTGTAGGTGCTGCTCGTGGTACTCCGCGCTCTCCCCTCTTTGAGGGGTGCTCCCCCTCCCCTCTCACCCCCTCCTACGCCTCCGCAGCTGCTGCTCACGACTACCTTGGTGCTGAGGAGGTCGGGGCTGCTTCCGCTCCTAGTGGGAAGCGTCGCAGCGGCAGGGGCGGCAAGGGTGGCAGGGGAGGTGGGGGTGGAGGTGGAGGTGGCGGTGGTGCAGGCGGCGGGGGAGGTGGAGGTGGTGGGGGTGGTGGTGGGGGCGGCGGGGGCACTGGGAGCGGTGGAGGTGGCAGCGGCAGCAGTGGGGGAGGGGGGAGCGGTGGTGGCAGTGGTGGTCCGGGCCAGCAGCAGTCGCAGCAGCAGCAGCAGTAGCAGCAGCAGCGTCAGTGCCAGACCCCCACTTCCCAGCAGCTTCTTGACTGGTATGCCGGGCGTGGGGTTTCAGGGGGTCCTGGTCGCTGCCCCTATATCATTCGCACAGGTCCCCGCACTGGTCGCCAGTGCACAGGGTTTCACACTGAGCAGCGCTGCTTCGCTCGGCTTAGTGACGCCTGGCGAGCCAAGTTTCCTGATGCTACTGAGTTCCCCAACTGGGCAGACCTGCTTAGGCGTGATGTACCTATCTTTGATCTTGACTATGAGGCAATTCTTGCTGCTATGTATGCATTGACTGTTAGTGCTAAGGGTGACTGCTACTTGTGTGTGCCGCCGGATCCTGGTATAGCCCCTGGTATAGTCCCTGCAGCACTAGGTGCTTGTGAGTCTGCTCCCCTTGGTACTGCGCCTGCACAGGCCTTGCACACCTTTACACTTGACTCTGGTACTTCCCGCTGCTTCTTTCGCGACAGTACCACAGTCACTCCCCTCCCTGCACCTGTTCCTGTCTCTCTGGCTGACCCCTCTAGGGGCCCAGTGCTTGCACGGTCTTCCACTTGTCACAGGATCGAATTTCCACTCGAGAATGTTGCACTAAAGGTGAGTACAAGGCGTATTTATACTCAGAAATACATAGAAACAACAGATAATCCGAACCTTCGGGAACGCGCTCTTCTAGAATAGATAATCACAAGTGCGCATAAGCACGCAAGCCCATTGGCACTTCGGATTATGGCGAGATTACGCCTTGTACACCACTGGCGGTGCTGTCGGTGCCGTATAATGTAAATGTCGGTGCCGAAAATACCAAATAAGTGAAATAATCGAAAAGCTCTAGAAAATAGAATATTAGTCCGATTGAGGTGAAATAAAGTGCAAATGAAAGAGGAAAATAAGGAGAATAAGATGGAGTAAAAACATCGAAATGAGAAATATGTCGAACGTCGGCGTACTCTCACACCACTGTGCTTCCGTGTCCGGCGGTCCCGTCTGGTGAGCTGTCTGGTCTCCACCTCCCCTCGTTCTCTACGAACTTGGTGAGCAACGCTTTCCTCCAGGATGCGGGTGTTGACACCTTCACCCCTGGCCGACAGCGTGTGGCGATCTGCACGTGCTCCCAGACCGGCCGCCACCTGGCCACGTTCACCCGTGCGCCAGGGTCCAGTCTGTACACCCTCACCACTACGCCGCGCTCCACCCTTTTGTCTCCCCAGCTGCACGCGTCTGCTCAGGCAACTACCCAGTGTGAGTGTCGCCGGCTGTCTCACGACACTCTCCTGTGGCACCACCGCCTGGGCCACCCCTCCCTGCCTCGCCTTCGTAGCATGCACTCTCGCTTTCTGGTCTCTGGTCTTCCCAGGTCTCTGCCTGCCCTCCCTCCCTCGCCTGCGCCGCCCTGCATTCCTTGCGTCGAGGGGCGGCAGCGCGCCGCTCCTCACTCCTCCTCGTTCCCTCCCACAGAGGCTCCACTGCAGACTCTCCACCTGGACGTGTGGGGCCCAGCCCGCGTCCGTGGATAGGGCCACGAGCGGTACTTCTTGCTGGTTGTCGACGACTACACGCGCTACACCACGGTTTTCCCCTTGCAGCGCAAGGCGGACGTCCCTGATGTTTTGATCCCCTGGATTCGCGCTACTCGTCTCCAGCTCCGCGAGCGGTTCCAGTCGGTCTTTCCTGTCCTGCGTCTGCACTCTGACAGAGGTGGTGAGTTCTCCTCAGACCTCTTGGCAGCCTTCTGTGCGGAGCACAGCATCCGCCAGACTTTCACGCTTCCGGCCTCTCCGCAGCAGAATGAGGTTGCAGAGCGCCGCATTGGCTTGGTCATGGAGGTCGCTCGTACCTCTATGATCCATGCGGCTGCCCCCCATTTTCTGTGGCCGTTTGCACTCCGGTACGCTGCGCATCAGCTCAACCTCTGGCCCCGTGACTCCTTGACGGAGACCTCGCCTACACTGCGTTGGACGGGGAAGGTTGGCGATGCGTCGGTGTTACGGGTCTGTGGCTCTCGTGCCTTTGTTCGCGATACGTCCGTGGACAAGCTCTCCTCCCGCGCTATTCCCTGCGTCTTCCTTGTGTCAGGAGCACCGACTGGAGCACAGAACGAAGCACATCGCCCTGCGTTACTTCCTTGCTCGAGAGTTGCAGCAGCGTGGCCAGCTTCGTCTTGCTTACGTGGCCACTCGGGCTAACACTGCTGATATATTCACCAAGGCACTTCCGTCTGGTGATCATCAGCGTTTCTGTACTTTGTTAGGCCTTGTGCCCACGCTTCCTCACTTGCTGTAGGCTTTGTTTGTGCTGTGATCTATATATCTATACCTGTATGTTTGTTCTTGCTAGGTAGAGATCACTGTACTGTTCTTGTTGCTTATATACCTCTGCATGTGGACTGGCCTTGTGGCCGTTTGCTTGTGCTCAGTGTGTGTGGTGACGTTGTGATCCACCCTGAGCTGTGTTTTGTTCCTTCTCTTGACCGGTCTTGTGACCATTGCTTGCTTTGGCTATCCCCTATTTCGCCTATGGGGGTGTGTCAAAAGATATGCTTGTTATTATCTAGGCTGTATTGGGGTTAGCCTTAGAGGGTACACAAACAATCTCGACACTCTAGTCTTGTACCCCAATCTTGACCTAATCAACCATTCCCCGATGACTTAGTCTCAAAATCTTTTAATCATCTTGTTCTCTTTCAACTTACGGTATTAACAAGGTCATTACAAAGACTTCATTGTATTCTCTCAAACTTGACAGACTTATCCTATCCACTACGATCCTTCACTTATAATAACAAGCTCAATCTGTTTGGACGAGTTTCTTGAAACTGTGTTCTCGCTCGCTTCAACGGCTTACGAAAAAACTCATTTTCAAGTTGGGATGGGATGGGGTTCACTATTTTAGCTGCTGGCTTTAACTGCTAAACAGGTCAGCAGTATCCAAGCTTAGTGTTGTCCACAATTGGAGCTAGTAACGAAACCCAAGCAATTACGCTGGTGATTACTTTTTGAAACGAGCCATACACCAGTTGTCGTCCAGCACGATGCAACACGAGATTCGCAATGTTTATACAGTATGAGCGGTATATGATCCCTCACCAGCTTTAGACGAGCGTGAGGGTCCCTCCCGAAGTACGTGTTCGCGAACATCCTACACAACCATTCTAAATGTTAGGGCCAGCAGTAGGTCATATCATGCCTCATTGAGCCGCATTGAGACGAACTTTTCGGACAAGCCCTAATAGAAAAGGAAGTCATTCCCTGGGCGAAAAAATATGAAGCTTTGCCCCCCACAACACCCGCACTCCCTCGCTTCCTACTCCCACCCCCCACCACCACGCCCCAACACTTTCCCTGAGATGTTTTGTAGTCGCAAAACTGGGTGTGAAAAACAAGCGTGTTCGTTCGAGTTGGTGACTGGACTAGATTGACAAAAGATGTGGAAGATGCATCGCCTGCCTTTGCACAGCTCGCAACCAATGGTTGCTGGCTGCGTGCACTTTGCCTTTCTCACCTGCTGTCCTGTGGGAGGAAGGAATGCCCTGCTAGATTCGATACTAAACAGCATGGTGCTGGCTGGACTAGGGGATTGACCACTGAGGCAGGGGAGGGAGATTCCAGCTCCTCACTCTCCTCCTGGGAGTCAAATGGTCTTCAGAGTTCAACATTACCCCTGGGAATGCCTAGAACTTTCCTCCATACCAAGTGGAACCGGCTTAGCAGTGCCCATGCTGCCTCAAAAGGCCGTTTTACTCCACAAATGCCTTGTTTGACATTTTGCTTCCAGGCGAACTCTCCTACCCACCTAGCCCCTCTGTCTGCTTGGCTCCTCACGCTATGCTTCAGCCTGTTCTGTATCGAGTACGCTTCGTTCGTTTCAAAGCACACTTCCTAGTGTAATAGAAGGGCGAGGAGCCGAGCCTGTGTTAGAATGACTTTTGAGGAGCCTCAGAAGGTCGGTCTATTCTAAAGCACGCGTCCTAGTCTAATCAAAGGCCGACGAGCCGAGCCTGTGCTAGAATGACTTTTGAGGCGCCTCAAGTCGTTCTATTCTAAAGCACGCGTCCTAGTCTAATCAAAGGCCGACGAGCCGAGCCTGTGCTAGAATGAGTTGGAAGTGGTCGCAGGAGCCGAGCCCGCGAGGCCAGGCCGAGCCGCTCGAGCAGCAGCCGCTGCAATGGGTGCTCGAGGTGACTCCCCAGCTGGACGTTAGTCGCAGCACTCTCGCCGTCGCTCTTGCCGATGCGGAGAGCTTGAAAAAATCGCACGAGTCGTCGCACGGATCGTCTCACGACGGGTCGTCGGAAGCCAATGGAGCAGGCGCGGAGCTCCCCGTGTTCATTCTAGTCGCCGTCATGCAAGACGCTACCGCACCTCCCTGTACGCATGATAAGATGGCCTCGATATGCGTCCTTGAGAGCTTAAACGGTACCTAAGCGGTCTTCATTGCGTATGCCTTTGGTCACACATTATCTGTCAAATGTATCAGCCTTTTCGTCTCCTACTCGTTAGAACGTCGACGCGCGAATCAGGTTGCGGTAATTTCGCCGCTATGCGTGCATTCAGTTGCGAGAACGAGCCTAGGAAGCGCGTCGCGTTGCGTGCAGGCGTAACTTCTGCCTGAAATGTCTTTCACGCTACGTAACGCGTGTTTCACGGAATCACGTAACGAGGATCCTTCTAAACGGAATGGCTTCCTCGTGTTGTGTTGTAGCAGTGCGCCGGCACCGCAGAGCAGATCAAATCTCCACATGCCTCCGAAATTTGTTTTCTTAACAGTTGCTACGGCCGACCGACCGGCCGTGTACACTTAATATGTTCCTTAACCGACACATTGTGGAGGTAGGGCATTGTCAGATGCGCGGGACGTTATGCACATGGCATTGCGCGTGGGACGTCGCGCGCGTGGCATTGTGCGCGTAACATGAAGCGTGTGGCTTTAGGCGCGCGCGTGACATTGTGCGCGTATGGTAGGGTACTCTCGGATTATGCAGGTCAGTCAGTCACATTGCGAAACATCAGCACATGCGTGCGTACTCATCTCATCCTCCGGATGCATCCATGCATTGCATGCATCCATGCGAGTCTCTCTCATCTCATCTGCCACGACAATGGACGAGGCAGTGTGGCTAGCGGAGGCAGAGGAGCCGCCGCCATTCCAAACACCTAAACACAGCAGCTGCGTGCATGTGCATCCATGCGTTTATACACTCACCCCCATGCACGCATGCCTCTCCTTCTCTCCTCTCCCTCTCTCACTCTCCCCCTCCCCCCTCCCAGCCCCCACGGTACGGCGCACCATGACAATGGACGAGGCAGTGCGCCTAGCAGAGGCAAAAGAGGCGCCTTTCGATGCCACCATTCATTCCTCGCTCTCCCTCCCCCACGGCTCCTCCCCCTCCCCCCACGGCTCGCCCCCCTCCCCCACGACTCCTCTCCCCCTCCCAGCGCCCATGGTGCGGCGCACCATGACCATGGACGAGGCAGTGCGCCTGGCGGAGGCAGAGGAGGCCGTCATTCGCAAGATGCTGCAGCCACTCAAGACTCTTGCACACAGCCGCCATGTGAGATGATCATAACGCCGTGCTGGCTGCTTGGTTGATAGTTTTGAGAGGTCTCAAAACTCGCAGAGGAGGCCGTTATTCACAAGATGCTGCAGCCGCTGCACACCCTTGCACACACACACACAGCCGCCAGGTGAGTCGCTCGCTACGCTGGATGGTTCCTTGAGAGGCTCAAAGGCTAGGAGCGCAACCAAAAGTGGAAGTGAATGTCTATTCAATGTATTTGAGGGACAAGATGCATATGGAGTAGCAGCAGTAGCAGCAGTGGTACCATGCGAAGGCAAGGCCCTGTGGTCGGTGCGTGTAGCTCACTTGGACCATAACCTTGCTTTTGCTCCATCTGACTTCTGCCAGCACCTTTGTCTCCAGGTGCGAGCAGTGAAGCATCGGGAGCGCAGCAGCGACCATGAGAAGGAAGGCCAGGTGCGACCAGTCATAACACTCGTCCTGTTCCCCCTGCTCTCCCCCTGCTCTCCCCCTCCTGCCCCCAGGTGCGAGCAGTGATGCATCTGGAGCGCAGCAGCGACCATGAGAAGGCCCTGTGTGACGCAGTCAAGCGGTTCTCCGCCTCCCGGGTCTACATCGGGGTCAGAAAGTAAGTCCGGGGCCTTTGATCAAGGGCATGTGGAGCAGAAGTGTCGCTGTCAGTTTGAATGGGGTGAGAGAGCTCGTGAGGTGGTCTGCTATACAGCCAAGCTCCTCTCCCCCTGCCTGACAAGTGCTTCCTTGCTTTGCAAGAGTTGGAAGTTGAAGGTGGGGAGGGCTGGAATGGGAGGAAGGCGAAGGATAAAGAACAGTCATGAGGAGAAGGGAAGGGACTGCCTCACAAGCTTGCAAGCCAACACAAGCTTGCAAGCCAACACAAGCTTGCAAGCCAACACAAGCTTGCAAGTGTCGCTATCAGTTGTAGTGGGGTGGGGGGAGAGTGTGTGAGGTGGTATGTTATGCAGCCAAGCTCCTCTTTGCCTGCCAAGCTCCTCTTTGCTTTCCTGCTTTGCAAAAGTGGGAAGTTCAAGGTGGGGTGAGGGCTGGCTGGAAGGAAGGCGAAGGATAAAGATCAGTCATGAGGAGAAGGGACTGCTGCACAGGCTCGCAAGCCACGATGATATCTTCGTTTTCTCCCCTCTTTTTTCCTCTTTCCTCTCCCCTCTCCCCTCTTTTTTCCTCTTTCCTCTCCCCTCTCCCCTCTTTTTTCCTCTTTCCTCTCCCCTCTCCCCTCTCCCCCTTTCTCCACCCCCCTCGCAGAAAGTTCCTATGGTCGAATTCCCTCAGCAGCGCGCCCACAGCCTACTACGAGACGAATCTCCCGGATGGCTGTGTGCTGGTGGTGGCGCAGGGGTCGCGGCTTTGGCAGAGATCCCCGTGCATCCCAAGGGCCCCCTCCCGCAGCCCTTCTCTCACTTGCTCCCAATGCTCCCACCCACATTCCCCACACGTTCTCCCCTCATCCCTCTCCCCTCTCCCCTCTCCCCTTTCTCGTCTCTCACCCTCCTTTCAGGAAGTTCCTATGGTCGAACTCACTCAGCAGCGCTCCCACAGCCTACTACGAGACAAACCTGCCGGACGGCTGTCTGCTGGTGGTGGCGCAGGGGTCGCGGCGGGTGGCAGAGATCCCCGTGCATCCCAAGGGGCCCCTCCGCAGCCGCACCCTCAGCCGCTCCAAACGCTCCCAGGCAGGCTTTGATGCCCCGCTGACTCCTACCGGCAGTGCTGCTGGTGCTGGTGGTAGTGTTGGTGGCACGGTGGGAGGGGATGGGAAGGGCAGGGGCAGGGGAGGAGGTGTGGGCAGGGGTGTGGGTAGTGGTGTGGGCAGGGGTGTGGGTAGGGGGGCAGGGAGGGTTGCGGAGAGGGGGGCAAGCATGGGGTTTCCTCGCTCGGCGTCGTCAAATGCTGCTTTGGAGGGGGGAAGCAGGAATGGAGAGCGGTGGCCTGACGCTAGTAGCGCTCGTGCTGGTGCTGCTGCAGCTGGTACTGGCACGGTAGTTGGTGTGGGTGCTGTGATTGGTGGTGGTGTTAGGAGCAGCGGTGGGCGGGGCGGGGTTGGCAGCAGAGGAGAGGGAGAGAGGAGGCGGGTTGATGTTCAAGCAGGAGAGCGAGAAAGCCGACCTCAGGCGGGCGGGCTCAGGGTGATTGTGCCGTCTAATAGAGAGGTGGACGGGTGGGGCGCGAAGATTCAGGTGGAGCAGAACCTGGGGGAGCAGCGACAGGGGGAGCAGAGTCAGGAGGGAGTGGAGTTGGAGGCGGGGGGAAGCGATGGGGATGATGCACTGGCGGAGCTAGGGGAGGAATGGGTTAGGAGCAGGAGGAGAGAGGTGCCGGGATCAGGTAGAACACCAGGTGCCGCATCAGGTGGCGCATCAGGTGGCGCATCAGGTGCGGTGGGGTCAAGGCGAGCAGGGCACCATCAGCGGAGCCACTCCATGCACCTGTTGTCACCGCACCCAACCGCTCTCTTCTCCCCCTCACTCCCTCCTTCTCACCCTCGGCGCCTTTCCATATCAGACGCCCTCGAAACAGAGGGCAGTGTGGGCCAAAATCGGGGCCCGGGGCGAGAGAGGAAAGACAACCAGGAGGTCGAGGGGGTGGATGGAGAAGACTACCATGCCCATGTCAGCCAGTTCGGGCCGTTGAGTGTGCGTGGCAACCCCACCACCCCGCACCTCTTCTCCCCAGACGACTGGTCCTTCCCTATAGATGACGCTTCTGATGCTTCAGATGCTACTTGGCCGTCTGGTGCTGCTGGTGCGTCTGGTACCTCTGCCCCCACGACTCCCAAGGGTGAGGGCATGCCAGGGAGAGGCTCAGGGAGGGCTGATGTCGTGGCAGCATCTGGAGGGCTTGCGAGGCTTGATAATGGGAGTGGGCGTGGGAGTGGGAGTGGGAACAGGGATGGGAGTGGGAATGCTGGTGGGGAGCAAAAGGAGAAAAGTCTAGGAACACGCACAGGAGCAGGCACAGGAGCAGGTGGGAGTGGGCAGGAGGCAAGGCGCGTGTGGCGCAGTCGGTTTCGCAGTGCGAGTGTGAGCGAGGTGCCTCTATCCCCCTCCCAGCTGCTCTCCCCCTCTGGCCTGCTCTCCCCCGAGCGCCCCTTCTCTGCTATCTCTGCCTGGGATGCCCTCCCTGTGCGCATCGGGGGGAGTGCGGTGGAAACAGGGGGGCGGGTGATGGGAGGGGAGGCTCTAAAGTCGCCGCGCATGGGGGGGAGTGCTGTGGAGACAGGGGGTAGGCAAATGGTTGAGTCGACACGCAAGTCGGCTCGCGTAGTGGGCAGTGGCGCTGGTGCTGGTGCTAGTGCTGGTGGTGATGGTGGTGATGGTGGTGGTGGTGCTGCTGCTGCTGCTGCTGGTGGTGCTCACAGGGATGCTGATGAGGATGACGTGTTTGAACAGCTGATGCGACGCCAGCTCAACACAGTGAGCAGCAAAAACAGCAACAACAGCATAGTCAACAGCAGCAGCAGCACCAGCAGCAACAGTCATGTTGGCAACACATCAGCCTCTGGCTCCTCCACCCGGGATGTGCCGACCGCACGCATGGGGGGAAGTGCTGCGGACACTGGGTGCAGGGAGATGCGGGGGAGTGGGGATGGCTGGGGGACTGGGAGCAATGTGTCATCTGCTGCTGCCTCTGCTGGTGATGCTGACGAGGAAGAAGATAAGGATGAGGATGATGTTTTTGAACAGCTGATGCAACGCCAGCTGGATGCAGTGAGTAGCAACAGCAAAGTCAACGGCAGCAGCAGCAGCAGCCATGCCCGCAATGCATCAGCCACTTGCTCCTCCTCTCCTGCTCCTCCTCTTCCTCCTCCTTTGGCCTCTGCTGTTGCTGCAGGATGGCAGGTGCAGCTGCTGCACAATCACAGTGGCAGTATGCATGGTGATGCTGATCAAATCAACTGTGATAATGCCACTCCCGGCAGCAGCAGTGCCCACCCGTCGTCCCACCAGATGTTCAACACCACAGCTGCAGCCTCGGCAGCCACAGCCTCGGTGGCAGCCACAGGTTCGGGTGGATCCCCTAAGCTTCGGATGCTCACCACCAAAGGTTCTGGCTCAGGTTCAGGTTCAAGTTCAGGTTCAGGTTCAGGTTCAGGTTCAGGTTCAGGTTCAGGTTCAGGTTCTCGTCTGGCCTCTGGGCTGGGACTGGGGCGAGCAGCGGCAAGAATGCTCTTTCCCAAGTCTTCCAGTGGCGGCAGCCGCACGGGGCGAGAGGACAGCACTCCCCAAAGCCCCCTGGCGTCCTCTCCCCTGTCCGATCCTGAGGGTGATGCGTACCAACGGACACGATCTCTCGGCACGATTGATATCATTAGATATAAGCAGAGCAGGAACGCGAGCAGGCGGAGGAGCAGGGACTATGGGGAAAGCAGTGGCAGCGGTGCCACTGCCATCCCCTCTCAGAAATCTGCCAGCCTCCTTTCTCATCAATCCGCTAGTCTCCACCCCTTGCAACAAGCTGTGCCATCATTTCAGCAGTCCATCTCTGAGGCGCCTAAAAAATCATCCCTGCAGCTGCCTCTGCCACTGGATGGACCAGCGAAAGCGCCAGTCCCATTCCAATCTGCCAGGTACCCGATGCCTCCTCGCTCGCCTTCAAGGCACACCCCTCCTCCGCTCCTCCCCTCTGCCGCTGCCGCCGCTGCCGCTGCTGCTGCTGCTGCTGCTGCTGCTGCTGCTACTGCTGCTGCTGGTGCTGGTGCTGGTAACGCGTCTCCACCCCGCTCCGCTCGAAGAAATGCTGCTGCTGCCGCCTTTCCTCGGTCTGCTAGTGCCGGCAGCAGCGGCAGCAACGGGGAGAGTGGCAGATGCCGAAGCAACACCGACAGCAATGGTATCAACTACAGCAACAGCTACAGTAGCAGCAGCGGCAGCAGAATCGAAGGATCAGAGCATGCTGGTGGTGCTGCTGCTGTTGCTGCAGCTGCTACTGGTGGAGTGGGGAGAAGGGCTAGAGATGTGATGGAGCCGGGGAGAGCAGACAGAGGAGGAGCTTTGCCAGTGGCAGCAGAAGCAGGTGTGAGGATGCTGCGAACCAAATCCGGAGAGATTCTAGGCCGCAACAACCAGCAGCCGCAGCCGCAGCCGCAGCCGCAGAGGAGGGCTTTAGAAAGGTTTCCTGTTTGCCGCATGGAGCAGCGGCAGCAGCAGGTGAAGCTGGCATGGGATGACATTCTGGGGGACGGGCCTGACGGGCCTGATGGGGCTGATGGGGCTGACGGGGCTGATGGGGCTGATGGGGATATTGGGGCTAATGGGCTCGAGAGTGTCTCCAGTGGCAGTGGCAACGTCTCCAAACCACAGCCAATGCGAGTGTCAGTGCCATTGCTGGGTTCAGTGGATGCAGGACAGGCTGCAGCAGGGAGAGGTTCGCTTGTCCGCAAAGCAGTGAAGGCAGCAGGAGCCGCAGGAGCAGCAAAAGCAAGAGAAGCAACGGGAGCAGCAAGAGCAGCACGAGCAGCAGGAGCAGAGAAAGGCAGAGGTGGGGAGTCGGAGAGCAAAGTACGGGCAACGGCAGCGGAGGAGTTTGACTTTGGTGTGCCGGCAGAGACGGCAGGTGAGGTGGAGCGGCGTGAGTCTGTTGATCTTGCGATGGGCGGGAAGGCAGCGCCCAGAGGTGGTGGCAGCAATGGTGATAGTGGTGGTGGTACAAGGCTCAAGCCGGGCAGTGGGAGCACCAGCACGGATTCTGAGCTCAGGGCAGGCACAGATGATGCAGCAATGGAAGCAGCAGGAGCAACAGCGGCAGGAGCAGCAGGACCAACAGCGGCAGGAGCAGCAGGAGCAACAGCGGCAGGAGCAGCAGGAGCAACAGCGGCAAGAGCAGCAGGAGCAACAGAAAGAGAAGGAGCACAGATTCCAGAGGGCTTATCACCGTCCTGCATCCCTCAACACCTACCGTCTCTCGGCCACTGTCAAGTGTTCACTCTGCAACAGCTAGCAGCAGCAACTGACGGTTTCAATCCCTCTCGCCTGCTGGGCTGCAGCAGTGGGGGCAGCGCAGGGGGCAGAGGGGAGGGCAGTGTGTATCGGGGAGAGCTGCTGGGGCGCCCAGTGGCGATCAAGCGGCTGCAGGGCCCAGGGATTACCCACAGGAGTCAGGGTCCTTACGCCACGTCAGCTGCCACGTCAGCTGCCACGTCAGCGGCCACGTCAGCAGAGGCAGAGGCGTTTTGGAGGGAGGTGGGAGTGCTGGCGAGTGTGCGGCACCCGCATGTGGTGGGCATGGTGGGGTGCTGCCCTGAAGATTTTTCACTGGTGTATGAGCTCATGGAAGGGGGGTCGCTTTGGGACCGATTGCACCCACAGCTGCAGCAGAAACAGCAGCAGAAAAAGCAGGGAAAAAACCAGGAGCCGGAACAGCAGCAGCAAGAGCGAAAACAAGGGGGAATTAGCACTCCGCCTCCGTCTCCCCTGCCACCTCCCCTCCCATGGCACCATCGCCTACGCATCGCCTCTGAAATTGCCTCTGCTCTCCTCTTTCTGCACTCCCACAGCCCCCCTATCCTCCACTCAGACCTCAAACCCCAAAACGTCCTTCTCGACGGCCATGGCACCAGCAAACTGGCTGATACAGGCCTGGCAGGGCTGAGTTTCTTTGGCTTGTTCCCGCAGAATCAGCTAGAGGTCACGTTCAAGGTGCAGGGGACGTTTGGGTTTTTTGATCCGGATGTGGTGGTTACCACCGGGGAGGTTACGGCGGCGAGTGATGTGTACGCGCTGGGAGTGGTGGTGGTGCTGCTGCTCACAGGGATTGAGGACGTGAAAGAGGTGCACCGTTTGTTGGGGCAAGTTTCGAGCTCAAACTCAGGTGCAAGCAAAGGCACAAGCACAAGCGAAAGTGGAAGCAGACGTCCTTCTTGCAACATAGATATTGCCGTCAATTTTTTTGCGGAGCGCCTCGACAAGCGGGCGGGCAGCTGGCCGAGAGATTTAGCTGCCCGGGCTCTGCGCGTGGCGCTACAGTGCACGGAGCGGCGCGGCGTTGATCGTCCGGACCTGCGGGCAGTGGTGCACCCGACCCTAGCTGGCATTGCTGAGGAGGCGCGGGAGGTGCAGGCTTGGGAGGAGGTGAAACAGGACCATGAGGTCGTGGCTTTGGAGGAGGTGAAGCAGGGGCGAGAGGCGCAGGCAGGGCAGGGCGTGGCTTTGGAAAGCCGCTTCATCTGCCCGCTCTCCCATGTGAGTTGCGAGTCTGTAGGGTGCAGCCTTCTGGGCTTGCTTGTGTCCAACATCTGCCACCCAGCCCCTCTCTCCTTCCGCTTCCCTCCTCCCTCTCTCTCAAGCGGTCCGTGTAATAGATCCAAGCGGGTACAGACATGCACGTGGTTACATATAGCATGCACGTGGTTACATATAACATGCACGTGGTTACATATAGCATGCACGTGGTTACATATAACATGCACGTGGTTACATATAACATGCAATCCGCTTCCCTCCTCCCTCTCTCTTCTCTCTTTTCATCCCTGTGTCCAGGTGTGTTTTGAGCCGACTCACATTATGCCTCCCTTGCCATTCCAACGCACTGCATTGCTCCAGAGGATTCTCAAAGAGCATTACTGCATCCCGGTAGCCTCGTTCTCATCCAACATCCTGCATTCCACCACCAACAGCAGCAGAGGCTGCAGGACCACTGGTGGGTGGTGGGCAGCAGGCAGGGTGATGTGCTAGAAGGAGAGGCGATGGAGTCAGCTTCTGTATCCCTTTGCTTCTGTTCCTCTCCCTCTCCTGTCCCTCGCCCGTGCACCAACAGCAACGGCTGCAGGATCCAGTGGTAGCAGCAGACGGGGTGACTTATGAGAGGGAGGCGATAGAGGCGTGGCTCGCAGCGCATGACACCTCCCCCACAACCCACCTCCCCCTCCCACACAAGCACCTCACCCCCAATCTCATACTGCTAGACCTGCTGTCCATCCTGGGTCTTCTGAATGGGTCATAGGGGGTTATGGGATGGAAGATGGCGGGGTGGGAGGTGGGCGGGAGGAGAAGAGGCAAGGGGAAAAGTGGGGGGGTTGACAAAGGGGGTGCAAGCAAGGCTGGAAACGGAGAGGGGGAATTGCTGGAGGAGGGGGAAAGTGGTGGGAAAGAGGGAGGTGAAAGCCGTCTGGGGAGGAAGGGGAGGACGAGTTTCGTGCGGTTAGTTTGTCATTCTTGCTTTCTCTTATGACTGTCCTAGTAATGTGAATAGCTAGTTCACAGGCACGTATATTTATGGAAGACCCTGGACAATTGCATATGCGAGGTGGGTGGAACAGATGATGTGTGTGTAGTATAGGACCAGGTGATTCCCTTACGACCTGAGTGTAGCGGCCAATATATACCGTAAGACCAATTGGGTTGAGGGGCAGTAGATAACCAGGACATGCTTATGTTGCTCATCTAGTGGGTGAGATATATGCTGTTTGCAAATCACAGCGAAAAGTTCCCTAATGTAAGGAAAATTCCTTTTCCTTACTTCGCGCCCCTGCTTAACGCGTACAAGACCATTCCCACCATCGGCACCCAACAGTGAAACGTTACCCGCTCGCGACACTCGCCTCGACTACAACTCTTGCCACTGTTCACGATGCGACCCAACCTCACGGTTCGGTTGGTAACCCGCGTTCCGGACCTCCACCTCTACATTTCCCAACCTCTGCGCTAGGCCCGTAGCGCACCCCATTTTCTCGCGTTACCGTTACCACTTTAGTTTCGCTATATATTCTTCGCTCATGCCTTCGCTCATTGTATGGTTTTGCTTCGATAGTGCAATTCTCGCTCGCTCGCTCAATTGCACTCATAACACTTGGTATTCAGAGCCTACGATCTCCTCTCGGACCGCACCCACACCTTCGCTTCCCCACTATCTCAAGTTCTGGAGGGGGTAGACGTCTCTCAGCGAACAAGCACCGCCGCTCGAAGTGCTCTCTCGTAAGCACGCACGGCCACGACAGAGGCTCCCGCTGAGCTTGCCCGACACCCCCGCTGAATTCAACCTCGCCACATTGACGCAAGTACAGCAAGACCGTCTCGTGAGCCAACTCGAAAATTCGGCACTTAAAGTCGCAACGCTCACGGCGGAACTTGGCGCCGCCCGCCGGCAATCAGCGACGAATGCACCTGCACCAATACACACCTACAAATGCACTTGCACAATGTCAGTAGATCTGCACTGTGGATGCCCGATTGATCCTAGGGGGGTTACAGGCGCGTTCGCCTGGGGGGTTATGGGCGCACAAACCCGCTACACAAACAAGCCCGTTTATCCCAGTGGTCTAGTGACTGGGATTCTGAGACACAACTGGATGAACCAATCATCATTTCGTCCGGCACACCGTCACAACACGGTAGCGTGGGACAGCGCTCAGGTGCAGCCGGTAATGGCGCCGCCCAATCAATGCCCAGCATGGAGAGGAACAGGGCCGCACCAAGTACGAGCGGGCCTCGCGAAGCCCGTCGTCACGTTGAGTTTGTGACAACGATCGACAACAACGACATCATCGCGCCGATGCCGCTCAAACCGCAGCGCCGCCCTGCTTCGATCCGAGCCAACGTGGAGGTCCGACAGTTCAATCGTGGGTCTTCACGATGAATGTTTTCTTCGACGCGAATTATGTCGAGTCAGACGCAACGAATATTCGACATGCCGTCTTGCTGCTAAGGGGCCCCGCAATGGACTGGTGGCGAATCATCGTGATGTCGCCACGCGCCTACGAGCCGCCGTCGTAAGAGGGAGAGTCCACGAGTCCACGTGGGATGCGTGGTGCGCAGGGCTTCGGGCGCGCTTCGAGCCGATCGCGGCTTCTATTTCGGCGCGTCAGAGGTTGCGTACTTGGTGACACCTTGGATCGGTCCAAGATTATACGAGCAGTTTTCTCGCATTATGCGAGCAAGTCCGCTACATGCACGAAGCGGAGCGGGTGGACCGTTACGTCGGAGGGCTGAAGCCGGACATCTCGCACGAAATCATGTTACGCGGGCTCTCGAACTTCAACAAGATCCTCGCGCTTGCCGAGAAGATCGATATCCTACGCCGACCGAGACCCTGGTTCTTGTTACGTTTTAAAATTATTAAACCAGATAGTATCGGTCTGATCTGATGCTGTAAACTCTCCTCGGGGTCACCTCCGAGGGTCCTTGGGTGCCGGACCAAAGGTCAGCCCCTATCCAAGGGTCCGATTTGTGTAGAGAGAGATTCGCAGCAACAGCAAGATTCCAGTAGCAGACGGCTGTTCTTTGACGTAGTTGGCGAAAGTAGGCAGCGTGCTTGCATCAGTACGGAGAGAAACCATTCACTCAAGTTATATTGTAAGGAAAATTCCTTTTCCTTACTTCGCGTCCCTGCTCAGCGCGTACACCACTGTTCCCGCCAACAGCACCCCACAGTAATTTGTTACCACTCGCGACATTCGCCTCGATACCACTCCCGCCACTGTTCAAGACGCGACCCAACCTCACGGCTCGGTTGGTAACCCGCGCTCCGGACCTCCGCCTCGACAATTCCCAACCTCGGCACTAGGCCCGTCGCGCACCCCATTCTCCACACGTTACCGTTACCACTGTAGCTTCGCTCAATCCTTCGCTCATTGTATTCTTGACTCGATAGTGCAATCCTCGTTCGCCCCTCAATTGCATTCATAACACTTGGTTTTAGAGCCTACGATCTTCTCTCAGACCGCACCCAAACCTTCGCTTTTCCCACTATCTCGGGGGGGGTAGACGTCTCTCAAGCGACCAAGCACCGCCGCTCGTAGTGCTCTCTCGTAAGCACGTAGAGGCTCTCGCTGAGCTTGCCCGACACCCCCGCCATGGCTGAATTTAATCTCGCGACACTGACGCAAGAGCAGCTCGACCGTCTCGTGCGCCAACTCGAAGATTCGACCCTCGAAATCGCCACACTCACGGCGGAACGCGACTCCGCTCGCCAGCAATCCACAGTGAATGCACCTGCACAATCAGAGGAACCGATCATCATCTCGTCAGGCACACCGACACATAACGACAGCGTGGGACAACGCTCAGGCGCAGCCAGTGAAGGCGCCGCTCACTCAGTGCCTGGCATGGAGAGAAACAGGGCTGCACCTAGCCCGCGGGAGCCCCGTGAAGTCCGTCGGCACGTGTAATTTGCAGCAACAAGTGGCGAGTACGCCATCACGACACCCATGCCACTCAAGCCGCAGCGTCCGCCCTGTTTCGACCCGAGCCAACGTGGAGTCACCACGCAGTCTGAGCACAAGTCACCACGCAGTCTGGATCACAAAGTCACCACGCAGTCTGAGCACAAGCAAATTGCCACAAGGCCAGTTCACATGCAGAGTTATATAAAGGAGAACAAACAATACAGTGAACACAACCTAGCAAGTGTAAGCATGCAGGTATATGTATAAAGAGTACAGTACAAACAGAGTCAAGAAGAAAGTAAGTGAGGCACAGTAGGCACAAGGCCTAACACAGTACAGAAACGCTGATGATCACAAGGCTGAAGTGCCTTGGTGAAAACATCAGCAGTGTTGGCCTGAGAGGCCACGTAAGCAATACGAAGCTGGCCACGCTGCTGCAGCTCTCGAGCAAGGAAGTAGCGCAGAGCAATGTGCTTCGTTCTGTGCTCTAGTCTGTGCTCCTGACACAAGGCCAGCATGGCCTTGTTGTCGACGTACAGAACTGGAGGAGAACGAGGCGCCTCCCCCAAGTCGGTCAGCAGGTAGGTGAGCCAGCGTAGCTCCTGTGCAGCCATGGCCCCAGCGTAGATCTCAGCTTCACAACTGGAGCTGAGAACAGAAGAAGAGCGGGTAGACCGCCAAGAGACAGAACCGGAGCCAAGACTGAAGGTGTAACCCTGTGACGACCGCTGCGTAGCCAAGTCGTCAACCCAGGAGGCGTCAGCGTGACCAGTGAGGACAACTCAAGCCCGTCCTCCAAGCACGAGCCCCATGCCCGATGTACTGCACAAGTATCGCAACACCCTCTTCGCAACATCCCAGTGCACCTTTCGGTGCCTGCCGGGAGCCACGTAGCGAGCCAGAAGGCTGAGAGGGTATGCGAGGTCAGGTCGTGTGCAAGTCATCAGGTACATGAGGCAGCCCACAAGCTTGTTATAGTCACAATAGGCTTGAATGTGCCTAAAACGAAAGATAGAGAGCACAGACGGATTTCTGCACAGCGGCTTCAAACGTTGATAGCGTTCTGCTCACAGCTGCAAATGACTTGATTCAAATTGGATCTGGAGCGTCTTCACGTCGTCTACAATTATCAATTTAGATTGCACGATTTGATAAAGAATTGACGACACAGCGTCGGTTTGAACGAAAGGTACTATGGCAGCCACTATAGTCTTAGAACACAAGATAGGAAGAGTTACGAGTTGGGAATGACTCCCAGCTCCTACAAACCCCAAGAGCCGAGGTACAGTGATGTGGAACAGTGCCACACTGTCCCCAACCACGAAGGGTCTCGAAACTACCCTTCACTAGGGCCTACACCAAGTGAAATGTTACACTACACAAAGTAATGTAACTATCTTCAATATCTTGAGGTGTACCCTTTTGGCAAGCTTCGAAATCACTTGAGGCTTGACACCAAGGCTCGGGCTCTTCATCACAAACTCATCCTTGAGTTCTTGATGGGTCTGCTGCACACACCTGCGACACGCCGAACGTTCGACACAGGACAAAATAGAAACCGCGCACGACAAAATAGAAACCGCGCGCGAGACACAAACGACCGCGTAACACGCGTCTAGCGATAACTCGCTATTGACTCGACACACACACTCGACATCATGACTCAACATTCACACACAATTATAAGCATGAAATATATATTATCCCATGCCCTCATACCATTCCATACACACACACATTCACGCACACGGACAACAAGCCGAGTGCAAACCGTAGGGTTGCACCAACAAACTCCCCCTCGGATTGTTGGCCTTAGGATATGTTGCTCTCTCAGTTCAGA